TAACATACATTTTCAACATAGCTCGAAAGAGCCAATTTTGCCGTGCCCGCGATGCTCTACATAAAATTGCCCTAATTTTCCTCTACATACCTAGTTACGAGCAATTGAGGCGTGAAGTCTTGAATCAATGGATATTGTTAGGCTTATCAAAACTTTTAACTTATTCATTCAGTTAATAACTGACTTATTTGGCTATAATTAGCGTCAGTCAGCTATCGGAATAAATTTATTCAGGTTAACTAACAGTTAAAGAGACTCTTAACACTAAAATAAATCAGATAAATCACCTACAGATGTTTCACCTCATTGTAAAACCTGTAATATACCAATATATCTAGAAGTGTTAAGAAATGGATATATAACATCAAAGTTGGTACTTTATTTCTTTAATATAAAAATTGTATGACTAGTTTTCGCAAAAATAGACAGACAGACAGATAGACAGAAATTAAATATCTTAAATCCATTCGTCTTTTCGACAATTATTTTAGATTATTCAGTATATAACAGTTAAGGAGACTTTTAAGACTAAAATAAATCAGATAAATCTATTTATGACACTGTTAGAGATAACTCTGCTTCACCTCATTGTAAAACCTGTAATATACCCATTTATCTAGAAGTGTTAAGAAATGGAATATAACATCAAGGTTGGTACTTTATTTCTTTAATATAAAAATTGTATGACTAGTTTTCGCAAAAATAGACAGACAGACAGATAGACAGAAATTAAATATCTTAAATCCATTCGTGTCTTCGACAATTATTTAAGATTAGTTTGATGAATTCTTCACATCATTTTAAAAACGCTGAATTAACCATTTGTACACTTAATATGAAAGACAAAAAAAAAAAAGCACAAACATATTTATAAAAAAGTTTGCTCATTTAATAAAAAATTTCAATCTTAAAACACCGCAACGGGACAAAAAAAGATATTATGAAATTTTAACTTAAATATTGTATAAAAAACCAAGTAAAAAACCAGATATTTCACTTCGAACTCAAGGGAAATATACAAAAAATATGCAAATATTTAAATTAAAATTTTACACACAAATTGTTTAAACATCGTGTATTTTATTTTATACGTTTACGCAAAACAGATACTTTTGAAATATAATTTTTTATTGCAATTATTTGCTATTATTTTTTGTAGTGTATTATATGAGAGTATCTTCAAAAAAAAAAGCAAACCGATATGCATCTATTAGAAACAGTTATAAAAACCTGCTTTATTTCAAAAATCAAAAATTATAATTTTTTTAATAGTTTTTTAATTATTTTTAAATAATCACAGCCACAACTTGATTTTTTTTTGTTTATTTATTAATTTTTTTTTTTTTGATAATTTTTATCATTTTTTGATAAGAAAATTCAGTTCTAATTAACGCAATGCGCACTACGCGACTTTAAGATACTTTAATGAATGAATGATTAAATGAAAATTTAATGCGAGTATCTATGACTTTTATTAAGACGATTTATAAAAACAGTTTAACACATTTAAATGCATTTTGTAATTATTTACCGATGCAACTCATTGAATTCATTCAGTTTATAATTAAATAAAAATTATTTAATTTACATACGAGTATTGCGAAATACACAATTATTCTGTAAAGAATTGTTAACATCATTTTTTATAAAAAGTGAAATTTGAATAAATCTTTTATGGAATAATTAAAGGTTAATAACTTATTTGAGTTGATATGATAATTGATGAGGTGGAAAAAATCATATAATTAATTTATTGAATAATTTGAAGTAGATTTGTTGTAGGGTCGCAACCGATTAAGGAATAATGCTAGAAGATTAAATCGCTCATTGTAGTAGGAGGAGAACGATGAAAGTGCTTTACATCTGCATTGCTACCCTCCAGCGCATGCACTCGTTGATGATTAACTTTGCTAGGGCCTTGCTCTTTTGAGGGTCTTGATCAATTTAAAATCTGTCTTTAAAAAACATTGTATATTTTGCCAAAAAAAAAGAAAGGTAGGTTTTGACTTTGAGTTCTTATACGGTTACATAATAGGTCAATAGGTTTAAGTAGAACATTAGGATCACCGGTATAAACTAACTTAAAGTATCATGAGATTTTAAAAATTGTTCTGATAGACTGAACGCAAAATTATCACATTATGGCGAAGATTTTAAAATTTGGATCAATATATACCAGGTAGCTAGCTCAATTTGGAAAAATTTTTAAGCGATATATAGAGTTCCAGAAACTTGAAAGAATTATTTATAAGAACACGACATACACTATGTCACGATGACACCAAAAAAAAATAAAATCTGTATAATCTAATATCATAACATAATTCACACTAATATCAATAGGCTAATAGGCTCTCAAAACTGATAGCTCTAAAGAATTAATTTTTTTTTTTAAATCTTCCCTTTTTCTGAGACAAAAGAATAAATGCCAACGGCTATCATATTTGAATAATTATTGGGAACCCTAAACCCGATGTTTTTTATTTAAAAAAAAATACTAAATACTTTTACAGTTTATTGATTTAATGAGCCGTTCGCATTATTTAAAAGCTTCAAAACGTGAAAACGGAGCTATTAAACGATTAGAAACGTAGAAAATAATTATATAATATATAGATCTGATACCTTGAAACCATATTGAAATCATTTCATATAGATTTATACTGTACTGTACGGACGACATTCTGACCTTCGGAAGGCGTAATGTCTTATGTTCGGTTAGGGTTTGTTGCAGCACAAAATATCAATCTTGTCGCAGTGCTCTGCTGCGTCGGGAGCTAGTACCCCGTTCATTCCTATTCCTACTGTTCAGATAATAAATTAGTACTTTGATTTTATAAATTAAAATTTTTTGTTATTATTGACTATTAACATTATTATAGTGATTTTTATGGAAAAGATTACATCAAATCACAAATGCCGACGTGATATATTAAAATCTATTTTGAATTATGACATTTTATATTACTCTCTTTATAAAAAGTTTTATTATTATTCGCCAGCTTAATAAAAAACACGTGAATAATACAAAATCACATGGCGGAAACGCAGACCGTGATAAATTAATTTAAGTTTTTGTTTAATATTGAAATAATTAAAAAAATTACATTTTTTTAAACGAAACTGTACTGTTGTTAAAATTATTTTTTAAATAATTCATACAGCTTTTTTTTTTGTTAACAATGCAATATTTTATGCTTAATATCTAAAAGTAAAAATACCCAGTTCACATACAACCCATCTGCAAGGGTATTCGCCTGCAAGAGAGATGGATACTAAGAAAAATATATAAAATCTAATTGGCGATGTAGAACCATATTCCATAACAAACCTTAAATAAATGGCAGCAAGCACACACAGTTAACAATAGAACTTATTATATTCTATTCTATATTGAAGTCATTATTGTGACATAATAACCCAAATCAACAAACTTTATAGAAACCGGATGGAGTAAAAAACAATGCATTTTTTTAATCTATTTTCTATAATGATGCCTTATATTGTTGCATTTAATTAAGAAGCAGTATTGTGTACTAAAGATATATAGATTATTTTCGCTACATATATGTATAGGTATACGAGATAAAAAAGTAAAATGAACTATTGTAGCATTATTCGTACGCAGGCCTAAACGATTCTCTAAAGGATCGCAGTAATCAGCGTATGAACAACGCTGTGATGCACGACTTCCATTCAAGTGAAGGTGATTCAACCCAACAAGTCTATAAACTAGAATACAACTCTGTTAGTTCAGTAAGAAAAAGAGCCCAAATATTTTGAATATTCTCGTAACCAATAATAGACACGGAAACATGAGCGCGAGTAAAGTTTCTTTCTCATCCGCAGAGCCATAACCCCAACAAAAGACATTATAGAGTAAACCCAGTTTCGTAGCATATTTTCCTACAGCGCAGTAATCTGTCAGCACCGATACTGTAGTTTTGAGCACTTTACGCTTTAGTTGAAGCAACGAACTGGGAAATCCACAAAAAAAATTTGGAACAATGACTGTGTCATGTCCAAGACATTCGAAAAAATCGCTTGACAACAGTCTAACAGTCTGTACTTCTACTGACAACTCTGTAATTTCAATTATTTTATACAATATGTCAAATTTTTTCTATTTGTCCACTTCTAATTGACGTGTTAAGACATATTCAATATTTTATAATCTTAGGGTTCTAATATAGCATGTTCTACTTCATTATTATGAATATAACATTGCGCGTTATTCCATTTTTAACATAAAATTCTCTGGAATATTGCATATACCCTGGGTCCATCTAAGGATATCTTGTACAAATTTTGTGTGTATTAGTAATAATAACACACAATAGTACGAGCACACATAGGGTACTGTTCCCTATGAGTATATCATATGACTATATTCCGACCTCAATTGGACCTCGGCATGATTGCAGCACATGTTAAAAAGCTTTTGCCTGAAATCTCTGAATATAAGAGCACTTTGTGGTAATTCAAGGGCAGCTAAGTCTATATCCGGGTGTCATTCATTTTTACAGGCAATCAAGTACTTTTCACCCTTTCGACAAGGGCAGTAAAAACAGTTATATATTTATCTGACACAGAGTTTTATGGCGCTGAAAAACTTTTTTCCTTTTTCTATTGTAATTGGTACAGAAAAGATATAGTTTTTTGAGTTATGGTTTTTAAAATAAGAGCAAGATATATTTATTATCTTACATCTTATAAATCTTATCTTACAAAGTTCAATAAATTAGTGGAGATAATGATACATATATATACAATAATTTAAACAAATAAAATTGTTTAATAAAATAATCAATAATTAAATGCTAAGCACTGAGAATACAACATACAAAATATTTAAAATTAAAATTTAAAATGATTTAAACTTATAAAATTGTTTAAAAAAATAAACAGTAAATAAATGTTAAGCATCAAGAATTATATAAACGCAATATAAATTTAAAATAACTAATATTATTTAAAAAAATCAAAAAAAAATTACTCACTTTGGTTAATTGCCCCCAACCTGTGGGCCAGAATTCAGGTTTTCCCCAGGGATCTGTTGGATATGGCTCAATTGGTGTACGATCCCCATGACGATAAATCTTAAAAATAAACAACAAAATATATTGTTATAAAATTTATACACCATTCCATCCACGCGATTGGACGCAAATCTACTCACCACATGTGCAAATACTAATTTGCCTTTGGGTGCTGCTGTGGCAGCTGATAAGTCCGCATTTGCATTGTCAACAAAAAAAAGAAAGGTCAGCGGCGACAAAAGAATGCAACAGCAAAATATTTTATAATTATGTGACATTTTTATAAATAATTTTTTTAAATAAATTTTTTTTACTTAAAATATATTCACTGACACAATAAAAAATAGACCAGTTTAAGAATGTAGTGGGAATCACGTTTGGTTGCTGTCGTTGCTATTTTTTTGTTTTTTTTTTCGTTTAAACAGATTATAACTTTCTATTATTTTGTTGTTGTTGTTAAATGTTGCCTATACTTTTTTGACACTTAAGTGGTTATTGTTGTTGTTGCTTTTAAATTTGCATTATTGTAAAATTTATTTAGTAACTAAAAATGTGGAATTACACAAGAAATGTCTTAAATAGCATATATATATGTACATATATATATTATATATTTCTAGATTAAAATGCCTTAAATGCAACTACAAACAAATAAAAGACTAGACTTTGAGAACACAAAATACCGCACACCATTTATAACAAATATAGACAAATTACAACAAAATTTGTTTAATTCGCACTCCTACCGCTTCCGACTCATTAGGCAATCTAAACAAAAAAATTAACAAAACTCTGTCCGCAGTTGTTATTGTTTTTATATGTTCCAGTGCAACCATCCACAAAAATTTTTATAGTACACACAGTGTTGTGTTATTACACAAACATATGGTAAACAGTCGACGATATGTTTCTATGTTTCAGTTAATCTTATTAATTATATTAAAAGTTGAACAATGTCACTAATTAATGTATTCATAAAACAAAGTTATTTATTATACAATTAACATATAATATTTTATTATAGAAAATTTTCACAATAAAAACCATATGCTGCTGCTGACGATAAAAAAAGTACTTTTTTTCTTATCGTAAGAAGGCAACACTACACAAAGCACGTAAATGTACTATTTATAAAAAGACCGTATTTGTCTTCTGCGAACATATTAAATGCAGTAAACGGCTTAGGTATCAGTTGACGCTATTTTAAAATTTTTGTTTACATATGTATGTAGAGGGATCAGATTATTTTAATTGTTTAATTATTTCAGACTCACATTTACATTTAATAATAGTTAATAATGCATATATAGAGTACAGATGATGACATTTCTATTGCCATAAAAAATGTTTAAACTGATTTTCTGATATTGTCGCATATACAGAGTAGAGAAGATCACTTTTCCATAGCCTTGAAATAGAAAATTTTAGATAGGATAAGCCGAATCTCTATCCCTTTGACCTTAAACAAATTTTTTTATGTAACATTTTGAATAACTTACTAACGAAGAAGTACAAGGTAAAGTTACAAATATATGTAAGAGGGATATAATATAGTATAACCCACTTATATACAAATGTAAGTTTTAAATAAACTGTGTTTTTCCCTCTTCTACAGAAAAAAATTTATTTTTGTTCTCACACTCTTTTTCCTGTAAAAATAATAACATGAGTAATAGGAAATAGTACGAACATTTTCAAAAACGGTATTAATATAAATAAGATCAATAACATTGTTCTATTGAAGGAACTTTTCAAGAATGGCCGGGTGTACCTCCCCGAGGCACTAGTCAATCTCGACAATCAAATGCCGTTCGCCAGCACTCAAAAGGATTTTTCAAGCAGATCGCCACAGGCTGCAACAACAATATTGAAAGAGCTTGGTATGGGACTGTTCCGCTGGAACCAAAATAATTGATCTTTATATTTCCTAACTAAATGACATGAATAACAAAATGGTAACAAAAGAACGCCAATTGAGGTCGTTTTAGGTTGGGAACCGTAAGATGAGAAAGAATAAACAATAGAAACACTTATTTTGAAGCTGACCAGGTCTAACTATAATCGGAGCGAATTTCTTAGGCAAACATATTCTTAATTCTCTCACCGAGGTATACAGCATTAAGATTAAAAACGCCTGCACTGAACACTGTAATGCCAGATTTTTTATTTGCAAAAATATTTATTTTGCTCCAAGTGAAGTAAATTTTTAGCTCACATAGTTATAAATATGAAAAGAACCAGAGTATTGCAATATTTTGAATGTTGCAAAGAGATATGGCCCTTCATCTAGCTTCTGACATCAAAAAAATATTAAAAACAAAACCAAATAAACTTATGATAGCTGTTTATATGAAGAAGGTTAATAAAAGTCATAAAATGGTTCCATGAATAACACAGGTAAGAGCAGTGCAATCGCAATGGACCCGAACAACCAATAGCCCCTAAATAAACCCAATGGTAACTGCACCAACAACTTATTTGTAGAACACTGTACCATGTCGATGAACACGTCAGCAGCGCATGATCACTTTCATGGCGTAATTAGAGAAACTACAGGGTAAAAATATCTTCTTGTCTTAATGCTGCAGCAGTATCAATACGTTCGAAGAGGTTATCATTTAATAACTTAAATTACTTAATTGTTTTGTATATATAATATTTATTTATTGCTATTGAACTGTCTTAGAGTTTAAAACAATTTTCAAATTATATTACAAATAATATTAAAGTTCATTATTTTAATAACAATCGGAAATGCACAATATATAATAAACAACATTTAAGTATATATTGATTTTACTGTATTGTATTATAGACTGCGTGTAGTATGTTATGTACTATATTATAATTCGTAGCATTAAAATACTTAAATATTTGCAAGTGCTTTGGAAAACACTTTACGTTTTATATACAAGTCCAGAAATTTATTATAGCATAAACAACACTTTTATACACATATATGATATAGGCCAATATATATATTATATGTAAATCAGTTTTATGCTATTATTTTTATTGAATAAGTGTAAAAATTTGTCAACAATTGAAATATGTTTAAAAATTATAACATAATTGACATTTGCTTCGCGTATAAGTTAATTTTTTTTAGAAATAAAAATAAAATAATATTTTACAAAATCTATTGTTTGCTGTTATATTTAATTAAGAATTTAAGTGATTGTACTTTGCCCTTTTACTCTAATTAATTTGCTATTAATGTGTTTTTTTTTTGTTTATAATGATAAAAGTTTATTTAGAAACTTAACCGTATACTACAGAATTCATTTCGGCATTAAAATTCTACTTATATTATTAATAATTATTTAAAAAAAAATAAATATTCACATAATTTTGATATGAAATTGTATGGTTTTAAATATTGCAATATAAACATTTTAGTTTAGGAAAAAAAAACTTAAAAACGTAGTCAATATAATTAAAATAATATAAAATAAAATACATTTTTTTGATTCAAATAGCAGGATGTAAGTAAAATATATAAATAATATAACACTTTGTTATAAAATTAAATTACAAAATTTAATAATTCACACAATATATAACACAATTATGTGTTATTTAAAAAATATTCTCAAAAATGTTGAGTTCCATTCACAAATGGGTACTTAGAATTCTTCAATCTAAAAAATACAATTTTTATTAATAAATTTTAGATAATTAGATAATTTTAGATAATTAAATTTAATAGATAAATTTTAATGAATATCAATTGTTTGCTTCGTTATATAAATTACAAATTAGTTCATACCTAGGGATAGGAAGTTATATTATGAATTTTATAAAAGTAATTTTTAAAGCACTACAAAATTTAGTTACTTTAAGGGATTTAGTGACACGACCAGACTACAAGTCTAAGATTACAAGAATAAGACTACAAGACCAAGACTACAAGACCGCCAACTCTAGTGATTAGGTGAAAAAACGAAGTGATTATCTGATAGCGCAACTGTGAGATATAGATGAGATTTTTCTTACGCTTAAAATTAATATTAATTTAAAATTAAAAAAGATGAAATCGAATATTTATAATATTAAATATATATGTAAAATATGTTATACCTAACTTGTATGTAAAAAAAGGGTTCACAAAAAGATCCACACTATATAAAATCTTGTGAGCACACATCGCATCTGGAAGTGGATTCACCTCATTTAAGGTGATCTAATATATGTCATCAGGCGATTAAATATTTTAGAAAATTTTAAGAATTAATTAAAAAGTAACTACCCATGTATTCGTCTTGTAATCCTTACATGTTATCTGTTTTTCAGATCCCAACAGGTCACAACAACAACAACATGAAAAACAAACTAGAAAGGCATTATTCAGAATACATTTAAGAGGAGTCCGTTATAACTGTTTTTAAACTATTATAAATATAAGTTTTATAAAACTTTTTCAATAATAGAAATAATAATAGGACAATAAATACTTTAATAGCTTATATGGAATTCCAAAAGACTAACTCGGAATCGTATCAAATAGATAAAATATTGCATAAAAGAACAAATACACACTTTATAACGAAGATAGGGTTGAGACAGATAATTGTCGTTTATGGATATTAAAGTTAATATGTTTAATTATTGACATTTCCTATTAATTTTGCAATTTTAGTGTTTATTCACAATTAACGCTGGCAAAATCACAGCGACTGTAATATACAAAATCTATAATTTCCCAAGAACAATAAAATATATTCAAATTAAGACTAAAATTCAAAAAAAAATTGGCACTAACTAACGAAGCCATCTTCGAAAATGAATGCTATATTAGGCCATAATGATTACACTATTACAAAGTTAGTTTTTTTTACTAAATAGAAAGTAGGTTTATTAATTATCTCACCAATTTCCAAGTCCAAAATTTTGAGAATTAGGCGGCTGTGGAAAGTTTTTCTGGAAATTATTTCTACCATTTCCGGCTGCATTGTTATTTCGAAAGTTTTGATTAAATGAATTTCCATTTCTATCACTACCACCGCTGAAACCAGTTCCGCCGCCGGCACGTCTGTTATTGAAATCGCCTTGATTTCGATTATATGGACCACCACGATTATTTCTATAATTATTGTTGGTTCCCCTAAAATATTCCCCAATATATTCAATAACTTAACAAATAAATTACAATTAACAAAAATTACGTACATTTTGTTTTGTAAATTTGGTGGTTGCGAGAATATATTTTGACCATGTAAACTATTATTGGGTGCTGCACCGCCCATATTAACACCTACTCGTTGAAATGGATTTTTGGTTGAATTGCCTTCATTTAATTGATTACCACCACGACTGAACTGATTACCATTTCTCATCGGGTTATTGTTCGGATTGCCATCATTAAATTGATTATTACCACGACTAAACTGATTAGGATTTCTCATAGGATTATTGATTGGATTGCCATCATTAAATTGATTACCACCACGGTTAAATTGATTACCATTTCTCATAGGAGAATTGATTGGATTGCCATCATTAAATTGATTACCACCACGGCTAAATTGATTACCATTTCCACTATTAAATTGACTTTGTTGTTGATGATTTGCATTAGGTAAAGCAAAACCACGTCTATCTTGTAAATTAGCATGATTTGGACGACCTGATCTACCGAACTGACCATTACCATTGTTTGTGTTTCTTTGATTAGCATTAGAACCAAAATTGTTGTCATTTTTGTGGTTACGAAAGCCTCCTGTTGTTGCATTGTTGTTATTGCCGAATTGATTATTTGTTGGACCTGCACCTGCCCTTGAATCTTGATTACGCATGAAATTTATTTGTGGACCTTGATTGAAATTGCCACCTTGATTTCTATTAAATCTATCATTTTTTTGAGGATCACCAGTGAAATTATTTCTGTTGGGTGGTTGTTGTGTATATGGTGCATTGCGTTGTTTGTAATTATTATTTCGTGTAGAACCGCCATTGAAATTTCTATTTCTTCCACGGTTATTATTGTTATTGTTAAAGCCTCTATTATTACCTATAATTTATATAATAAATAAAGTGTTTTTATCAGTAAAGTGTAAGTGTAAGTTGTGTACTTACCTGATCCTTTTAAATTATCATTCATATTGTTGTGATTACTTTCGGTTCCAACAGTACCTGTAATTGCTTTATTTTTTGGGCGTCCTTCTTCGACAATAATTTTTTGTCCCTTAAAGTCACTATCGTTTAATGCTGCAATGGCATTTTTGGCCATATCAATGGTTTGCATATGCACAAATCCACAACGATTCATAACATCACACTCTACCACAACACCATACACCTCGAAGAGCATACGTAATTCATGCGGCTTTGAGCCTTGAGGTAAACTTCCAACGAAAATCTTAATAGGGGGCTGCTAAATGCAAGTAATATAACATAATTAAAAATAACATTCACTTAGAGAAGAAATAAATTCACACACTTACTGGCATAATTTACAAAGTGAAAAATGTAATGAGATCCGAAAATATTAATACCGAAGCGTCGTCACGATAAAGAAAACAATTGTAATATTTATCGATAATTGCGAATCATAGCTTATGAATGTATAGGATTTTTAGCATTTCTAAAATTGTTCTTTTTGCTAAAAAATTTATGTATGGTATATATGATATAAAATTTTCTTAAATATATTTATATATTATAATCAGAGCAAATAATAACAGTATTTTTATAAAGATATGAAATAAAATTATAATAATTATTTAAAAAATTTTTTTTTTAATAATAAATATGTTTTATATTCCCTAATGCTGAGAACACAATCAGCACTAGAATAGACTTAAATTAATAGCTGTGTATTAGTATTATTAGCGAAACAAATTCTTTTATCTCGTATCAATGTAAAAAATCATATTAACATTAACTTCACACCCAGTTTAGGCTATTTATATTTTTAGCATTGTTCAATATCATATCATATATTAATAAATATCATTAATAAATATAAAAATACCAATGAATGTCATGCAATTGTTGCAGACTTATTACAATACTAGATTTGTTGCCATTAAAACGCAAGGTAATACTTGAATTTTGTAAAAACTGTAACAACACCAAGCACAATAATAAAACAGATAATATACAAAACGATATATATTCTATTTACGTGTTATGCCTAATGTCCCTCGACAATAAATGCACACAGATTGAATAGTTTAAAATTACTAACTTTTCTAGAAAGTTGTTTCTTTATTTATATAAAATTATCTTACAACTAACTTAACTAATTTTCTATCAAGGTTGAAATAATATGTTGTCAGTTATCGCTATCTTTAGTGGATTGTATTATTACATTTTATTGTTGTTTGCAAAAAGGTTCAAAATGGGATACAAGGACGGAACTCCCGGCACTTGGGATTTTTCCTTGTATTGTCTTATTTTCATAATTGTAATTAGATACGGTGCCTTGTATTTATAATTAATAATACAATTTATCTATACAAAAGTATTTAATGAAATAATGGAATTTCCCTTTGGATACTTAAATGATCAACAATGTCCTTTTCAAACAACATCCGGTTGACGATAACATTAAGGTCGTGTGCGAGTTAGGCTAAGTTGCTTTCTAAATGAGGGAAATTCTAAGTTGTGTCGATAATGTATTGATGTGTC